GTCAGAATTATAAATGTCCTTGTTGGATGAGGCAGAAAGGGTTGCCTGTGTAGGACATTCCTGACAAGTCTTCAGGATTTGAGATGGTAGCCATCTTTTTTGGCTAGGTTTTTTGTTTTGTTTTGGATGAGAGGAGATGTTTTAAAAACTGTGAAGTACAGAAATTCTCAACTCATTTACCTGTAATCATGTAGGAAAGGATATGCATACGATTTAGCACATAGTTGGTATTCAATATATATTTATTTCTCCTAACACCCATCGCTGCTGACAACTTGAGTGAAGGGTGAATGGCTGATTCTAATGGCTGCCTGAGGGGGCATGTAGGGTTGCTAAGTTGCTGGATGACTATTCTTTGCTTCCTCCCCTTTTGCTTCTAATGTAAGCCATGCTCTTGCCATAGTCCAAATTGAATTCATATATGTATACATAGATACAGATAGATAGATAGCCGTAACATAAATGTGTGTATCCTTGGAGTGTATACACAGAGATATATGTGTCTGTGTATATACATGCATATATCTGCACTTGTGTGTGTGTATACATTTGTATTTGGCACATGTATTTGCCAGCTCCTTACCATTCTTTTGGAAACTGTTGCCCCTCCTTACCCCAGATGATATAGTTACTATCACTTTAGATTTAGCAAGTGTTCAAAAGTGTGAACCTCTACTCACAGTTGTTAGGTTCCAGGGGTGTATTTATCTAAATTTTAAATAACTTTGTCGAATGTGTAATAAGCCTTGCAACATAACCTAACATGGTCAAAATATAACTCCTGCTGCTCCTCCAACCCAACCCAACCAGCCCATCCCCTAAAAACTACCCTGTTCATCTTCTGGAAATTTCCATCTTGGTAAATGGTATCACCACCCAACCTGAACCTAGGAGTTTTCTCTCTCTCTTACCTTTTTCCATCTAATCCTTCAACAAGCTCTTTTGGCCCTATCTCCAAAATATTTTCCAAATCTATCCTGTTCTCTCCATTTCCTCTATTATTACTATAGTCCAAGCCACAGATATCTTTTGTCTGAATTAGTGCAACAGCTTTACAATTGCTATCCCTGTTTTTACCCTTTGTCTCCATCCTGTCACCTACAATGTTTTTCTAGTTCACTTGGAATAACATTAATTTCACGAGTCCTTGTAAGCTTGTACATTTTCTGGCTGCTGATTTTGTCTGTGGCCAATCACCCACCACTCTTCTCTCCATTTACTACCCTAGCTTCACTCGCCTTCTTTTTGTTCCCTGCGCTTGCCAAATGTCTCCTCTTTGGGACCTTAGCATTTACTGTTTTCTCTGCTTAAAACTCTCTGCCTCTTGATGTTACCAGGAGCTGACTCTTGTGCAACTCAGCTGCATTCAGACATCACCTCCTTGGTCATGTTGACCAGTTTGCTCTTGCCTTATTCACACAATCACCTCATCACCTTTCTGTTTTAATTCTTCACTGACCTTTAGCACTACTTAAAATTGCATTGTTAGTGTATTAGTTTGCTTGCTTATTGCCTCTTTTCTCCCACTAGAATGTGAGCTCCATGAGGGCATGGACTTATCTGTCTTGTTCATCACATGAACCCAGCACATCGAATGGTGCCTGGCACATAGTAGACACATAGAAAAGTGAATGAAAAGAAGGAAAGAATGAATGTGTTAATGTGCTTTCCCCAGATTTTTGAAGCTGAAACCAAAGAAGGGAATCAGTTTCAATCTCTAAAGGTTGAACCCTAGACATAAAACTTAAGAGCTAATGAGAATAATGAAGCCAGTAGGCAGAAAAAGCAGAGATAAGAGCTAAAGATGGTTTGAATGTATTCAACTCACTTTCTAGTTGTTTGAGACCCAGATATACTCCTTCCCTTTCCATAGTATGATTGTTCAATTTATGCATGAGATATCCCAACATAATTCTAATAAATTCCTCTTTTTTTCCTTAAATTTTTTGAATTTTGTTTCTGAGACTTACAATTAAAGAATTCCAAATTACAATGCCACTGCTTATCTCTCTTGTTTTTTTTTCTGCCACTGTTTCCCATCAAACTCAAGCCTCTGGCCGTAATATATTCTTGTCATGTCTCTCTCTTTCTCTCTGTCTCTTGGACCTTTACACATGTATTTCTATATGCTTGGACTATTCTTCACCGATTTTCCTTGGAGGAAAGTTTTCCGACATCCTAAACCTAGGGTTTTTAGTCCTTCTACGGTCTACCAGAACATCCTATATTTGTTTTCCCCAGTGTGGCGTTAACAGCCAGTCTTGCACCTCCCTATGTCTGTTTCGTTCACTGTTGTATTTTTCCTTGTTTACTACTGCGTATTTGGTGCCTAGAACAAAGTTTGACACATGAATCTATGGTGACTAAGTGAATGCATGAAAAAATAGAGCTGTCTTGTTGGTAACCAAAGCAGATCTAAGGCATAACAGAATAGAATCTGAGTATTAATAATCTGTTCCACATCAGACTGTTTGCTATCGATGATGCTGTAAAGTTTTGAACTGATTTTTTGGTATTCTGTTTACCTTGAACTTAGGCAAGATTTATACCTATATGTTTCAGTATTTTTTTTTCTGAGGACCCTTTTATTTTTCTGCTATGTTCCCCTTTTGTACTTAAGGGCTTTATTTATTTATTTATTTATTTTTTGAGAGCTATTTCCACCTATTAGTGCCACTTGGTTTGCCACTTTGTCAAATACTGGCAGCATGCCAAGCCACCAGGCACCTTGTTCAAAATAGGATCTTGTGGACTATAAAAAATAAATCCATAACATCAACATAATTTTCTATTTAGCATATTCCACAGAGTAACATTTTTAAAACCTTAAAAATATCAGAATTGCTGTACTATCCCAAAATGTTCTTATTTTCCATCGTCCTCACATAGTTCTTAGTGCTGTAAGGAAACAATTAAAATATCCAGGTTTCTTCAAGTTCATTTAATAGCCGAAAAATAAATAGAGGGCTCAATTTATGTCATGTGCAGTTGTTCCCAAGGGAAGGGAATGTTTCAGTTGACCGTGACTGTGACCTGCCATTGCACTCTCACTCTGCAGACTCTCTGTGAGTCTCAGGGCTCTGCTGGCCTTGGTGTAATGATTTTTTCCCCCTTACGCTCCATGGATCTTATAACAGTAATGACACTAAATGACGGCACTTTGCTTGTTTTTCTGGCACTTCCTCCATGAAATTTGCACCATTACTGAATGAATTTGCAACACGGCATGAATACTGTCAAAGATTTGTTATAAAATTGCACTTTTGACAGCAACATTGAAGGGGAAAAATGGAAAGCTTTATAAAGGATAGGAGTTTTGAAGAAGACATTTATAGATTGAAATGAGTTGTCAACTATTGATTATTTTATATAACACCCTATCATATGAGAATTTGCCTGTTTCCCTTGGGATTGTGATGGAGAAAATGGGCAATGGGACAGAAATATTGAACTCTATTCTCAGCATCTTAAGAAATGATGTAAGGAGTAAATGTTTCCCCAGCATTAAGGTAGCTATATGGACATGGAACCCACTTACTATTTTTTATTTAGTTTTGGCCTTAGAATGGTGAGGGGTGGTAGAATTGTTTCAATTTTCTGTGATACTCTTGAAGCTATGTTGGTTGTCACATTTGAAATACAATGTGAGATACTCTTTCACTCAGATTCTGAAGGTAGAGTTAATAATTTCAAAAATAAGATGGAAGCCATTCAGTGTAACCAAATATATACATGGTTTAGAAATGAGTCCTAAAGAATCTAAGTCAAAACCAATCTCAAAAGTGATAAACAGAAGTTGTGTGCACTTCCACAGTGCAATTAATCTAAAAAACATGAAATGCAGGAAATATCATTTAATGGTGTGATCACTGGAGTTACAGATCTTAATTAGGTGCTTTCTTAATTATAGTCAGTTTCTAATATGAACAGGTTATGTATCTAGACTTCATTAGGAAAACAAATATTTTTAAAGAAGATTTTTTTTCCTATCAAAAGAACATTTCAAATGATGACTTCTTACCAGATTGCTCAGAGAAACTTGCAAAATCCAAGCGTAACTGAGGAGTGATATTAATCAAGTGCCCAAATCTTAGATTCTGAGTGCAGGGGGTCTTTTAGCTGGGAAGGAATAAAAAGGATGTATTTCCTCTCCCTACCTAGCTTCAAAAAAAGTCAAAAATAGATGACACTTTCCTTTTACATCCTATAACTGCATTCTGCTTAGCTCCCTACCTCCAAGGGCCCCACTCGACTCTCCCCCAGATATCCTGTACCTTCTTGCTGTTCTGTGGCACATTAAGCTTCCCCTGAAGTACTTCTCCTAAAGCTCATTTCTTCAGTGAGGGTAGACAGCAGAAAAGAAAGCATTCTGATTATGCTAATTCACAATAAAGTGTGAATGATTGAAAGCAAAACTATGCTCAGGTATACAGAGAAAACTTACTGGAACTCACAGTTTGTCTGGAACTGTGTTAGGCTTGTTAGCTCTATAATCTCATATCTTTACAAAAATTTATTACCGAGGACACTGGAGTTCAGATTCTTTAAAGAACTTTCTCAAAGAGCATAGCCAGTAAATTATAGAGCCGTGACTCAAGACATCAAAAATATTCCAAAAAAATTGTTTTTTGGAGATACTTGTTGGTGCCAATTAATTAATGCAGTTCCAGTTTCAGGCATCGGGATAAAGGAGGTGCTGGTAAAAAAAAAAGTCACAAATGATGAGAAATAAATCGTGGCAGGCAGCTCTACTTAGGATGTATTCTCCTAGACCGACTTTCCCAAGTTAAACTAGTTTTATATATTTTATTTTTCCTCTGTCTTCCACATACAATTATACTTTGCAATGCATTAATCTGAAAGTTCCAAATTGTTTACAGCTCTGACTTGGTTCTTTGCCTTTCCATTCAAATTATCAGGATTTCTGAGTGGAAAAGTGGTCACACTGATATTTTCATGTCTCATTATCTGTTGATGGGGTTTTTATTTTTCATTGACAGGGATTTGGAAGGTCTTGTAGCCAGCAGAGAAAGGAAGACATTAATAGCGGGAGCTGCGGCATCTAGCAGCAGGGACTCTAAGGAGTGTATGTTAGAACTGGGAGGAGGAGAAAGAAAATTCGGAAATCTGCAGCTGTGTGTAAGTTGGCTGTTTTCAAATTGGAGCTCTTCCTTCCACCACTGTGGTTATACATACTACATCAATGTTGGGTTTCATATGCCCATGCTGTGGCCCATAGAAAAAAATGTCTGTTGTTTAGCAGGAAAATGTAGGAAAATCTGGACAGTCACTACTGCTAAAAAATACCTTCTGCAAAATAAATTTGCTTTAGAAATGGGGAGTTCTGTATTGGCCTTGGTTGTTATTTTCTGTTCCATAATACCTCACCAATTCTGTTATACATAATGCTAAAAAATATTCACCAAATCATAAATGGTCAAAACAAAACAAAACAGAACACCACCACCAACAACAAAATACCCTCCTCTCTAAAGAAGTTATATCTCTTGGTGGCATTTCAATTAAAACAAAAGCTACTCAAGGTAGCACAATAATGTTTACTGGCCTCTCTTTGTATGAAGTGCATAGATAAAACAGATTGTCACTAAAGCAAAGGTGTATTACAATTCTCTTTAGATAAAATGAATATATTCATCATCACCAAAACACCTACATAGCCTAGAGCTAGTTCCCACGGGACTTATTTTTTAAAGTTTATAATTTGCTTGGATCTCACTCAACTGCCAGGGGATTTATGTATAATGTATCTTGCTTTCAAGTTCTTATTAAAATAATTAAGTAAAATGGATTGTGAAGTCAGATGTTGACACAATTTACTGCCGCTTGTTTATTTTTATTTTCCAAGGCAAGAAGCCTTTGAAAGCAATTTCCCCTACTATCCTCCCCCTGTGCTCCTCAAAATAGAAGCTAATACTGAATGTCAACTCCCTTTCCTCCCTAGAGAACCAAAGAGTATAGGAGTTCTCTTATAGGAATTCAGAAACACCTTCTTGCTTGAGGACATATCATCTGATACTGGGAAATAGGGCTCTCAACATTTAATGAATATCTCCAACACTAACCTTGCGTGAACAGTCATAAAATGGAAGCCCATAGTCTTTTTACACACCTCGGAACCCCTCCAGCAAGGAAAGGAGCAACCATTCTAAGAGAAAAACTATAAATATCTTCGGTATATTTTAACTTCAAGGAAAGATTAGTGCATCGGTTAAGAACATGGTCTTAGAAGTCATGAAACTAGATTCAAATGGTGGCTCTGCCATTTTTAGGCTGTAACTTTGGACAACTCACACTTCTTGGACCTCTTTCCTCATTTGTAAAATATGGTTAATAGTCTTTAGCTCTTACCCTGAGGATTAAATGATATCAAGAATGAAAAAATCTAAGTTAAATGCTAGCCCATAGTAAGCATTACATAAATGATTGTTTTTGTCCTGGGAAACAGAGCCTGAGTGGGAGATTCTTGGTCAAGAGATTTATTGATTGAGAGCTCTCAGGAGCAGAGTGAGAAAATCATAAGAGGATGGAGGGAACAAGCTAGCTGAGTGTGGTCTCAGCTCAGCCTGATTTCCCTGGGAAGCTCTGTAGCTCAGTTTGCATTAGTCAGTCCCACCTGGAGGGGTGTGGAGGGAGCCCCTCCAGCAAGAGAGCTCCCATATGGGAGAGGGAAAGTCTCCAGAGAAGAGTACATCTTTGAGTTGTTATCATAGCACTAGCAGCAATGGGATAGAGGTACCCCTGTTGGTAAAGGGGATCTGGATGGGACACCCCAAGTACCCACGTGGCATTGCTCAGACCCACTTGGTTCTCGCGTCAAGTTCATCCATCCAGGCACAGTTTCTCCAGGATTCTGGTTGGTCACAATTTCTGGGAAAACTTAAAAAAGGGAATAGTTAGCTGGACAAACCAGAACCCATGCTACTGCCATTGTTTCTGAGGCTGTAACTCAATGGCTGTCAATCAGGGAAGATTTTGCCCTCCACAGGACATTTGGCAACATCTGGAGACATTTTTGGTTGCCGTATCTGGAGGTTGCTACTGGCATTATGTCCCATAATGCACAGGAAAACCCCCACAGCAAAGAATTATCCAGTGCAAAGGTCAATAGTGCTGAGATTGAGAAGCCCTGCTGTCACTGATCTGCATTATTTCATCGCTTCTCCACTCATTCTAGCTTCTCCTCCCCTAAGCAAGCACATGTGCTGGTCCAGGTGGCTTGTCTGATGGGCTGACATGGACCCCTCATCCCTGAGGGGTCTAAGTCCTGTTTAGCATGTAGTTGAAATCGGATATGGGAGTACCAAGAGATGTTCCGGTGAGTCGCTTGAGTGCAAAACATAATCCTCAACTTGCTACCAAGAGGCTGAGTGGCCTTCTAGAGGGATGGCATGGTTCTGGGGCCCAGCCTTAGTCTCTGCTGCTGGCAGGTCAGATATTCAGCTGTAGCAGTAGGTAGATTAGTCTGAGTGAGAGGAAGCACATGCTGTAGGGCACATATATAATCCTATGAATTGTTGTGGGCCTCACATAACCTTTAGCTTGAAGGGTCATGATGGTAACTTCTGGCCACATGGTCACCTGCTCTCCGATAGTCAGAAGCTCAGTTTCTACCATGGACTAGTAGCATTCCAGGATCTGGTTGTTGTTGTTTTTATAACAACTTTATTAGTATATAACACACATACTCTAATTCACCCTTCTGGAGTGTACATTCAGTACTTTTTAGTTTACTCACAGAGTTGGGCTATTATTACAACGATCTGATTTTAGAACATTTTCATCATCATCGAATAAAACCCCAGACCCATTGGAAGTCACCTCCTAGTCCCTCTAACTCCCCCAGTCCTAGGCAACCATTAATTTACTTTCTATCTCCACGGATTTGCCTATTCTAGAAATATCACACAAATAGAATCACATAATATGTGTCCTATGAATCTGCCTTCTTTCACTAAGCATAAAGTTTTCAAGGTTTATCCATGTAGTAGCATGTATTGGTACTTCATTCCTTTTTATTTATAAATAATATTTCATTGGCTCGATATACAATTTCATTTATCTCATCATCAGTTGAGCGACATTTGGATTGTTTCCACTTTTTGGCTATTATGAATAATGCTGCTATGACCACTTTTGTACAAGTTTTTGTGTAGACATATGGCTTCAGTTCCACATACCTAAGAGTGGAATTGTTGGGTCATAATAGTAACTCTGTCTAACACTTTGAGGAACTGCCAAGTTATGTTCCAAAGTGGCTACATCATTTTATAATCTTACCAATAATTTTGGTGTTTCTAATTTCTCTGCATTACCATCACTCATTTTCCGTCTTTTTAATTTTAACCATCCCGGTAGGAGTTGCTTTCATTTTTTAAAAATTTTTACTGTGGTCATAGTTTGTAACATTGTGAAATTTCAGTTGTACATTAATATTCGTCAGACACCATATAAGTGTGCCCCTTCATCCCTTGTGTCCACCCTCCACCCCTTTCCCCCAGTAACCACTAAATTCTTCTCTTTGTCCGTAAGTTTGTTTATCTTCCACATATGAGTGAAATCATGCAGTGTTTTTCATTCTCTGTCTGGCTTATTTCACTTTACATAATGCCCTCGAGGTCCATCCATGTGGTTGCAAATGGAATGATTTTGTCTTTTTTTATAGCTCAGTAGTATTCCATTGCATATGGAATATATGTTTATGGAATATGTATATACCACATCTTCCTTATCTAACCATCAGTCAATGGGCACTTGGGTTGCTTCCACATCTTGGCTATTGTGAATAATGCTGCAATGAACATAGGAATAAGTTTCTTTGAATTCAAGTTATTGAATTCAAGTTGAATTCAAGATATTTGGATAAATACCCAGGAGTGGGATAGCTGGGTCATATGGTCTTTCTATTTTTAATTTTTTGAGAAATCTTCATACTGTTTTCCACAGTGGCTGCACCAGTTTGTATTCTCACCAGAAGTGAATGAAGCTTCCCTTTTAACCACGACCTCTCCAACATTTGCTGTTTTTTGTCTTGGTGATTACAGCCGTTCTAATGGGCGTACGATGATATCTTGCATTTCCCTGATGGTTAGCAATGATTAATGATGTTGAGCATCTTTTCATGTGCCTATTGGCCATCTGTATATCTTCTTTGGAAAAATGTCTGCTCATATCCTTTGTTCACTTTATTTTTTTATTATTTTTTTTAAGATTTTATTTTTTCCTTTTTCTCCCGAAAGCCCCCTGGTACATAGTTGTATATTCTTCGTTGTGTGTCCTTCTAGTCGTGGCATGTGGGACACTGCCTCAGCGTGGTTTGATGAGCAGTGCCATGTCCGCGCCCAGGATTCGAACCAACGAAACACTGGGCCGCCTGCAGCGGAGCGCGCGAACTTAACCACTCGGCCACGGGGCCAGCCCCTCCTTTGTTCACTTTTTGATTGGGTTGTTTGTTTTTTCGTAGTTAAGTTGTGTGAGTTCTTTATATGTTATGGAGATTAACCCCTTATCACATATATGATTTGGAAATATTTTCTCCCATTTGGTGGGTTGTTTTCTCATTTTGATCTTGGTTTCCTTTGCCTTGCAGAAGCTCTTTAGTCTGATGAAGTCCCACTTGTTTATTTTTTCTTTTGTTTCCCTTGTCTGAGTAGACATGGTATTCGAAAAGATCCTTTTAAGTCTGATGTCAAAGAGTGTACTGCCTATATTTTCTTCCAGAGGTTTTATGGTTTCAGGTCTTACCTTCAAGTCTTTGGTCCATTTTGAGCCTATTTTTGTGTATGGAGAAGATAATGGTCTACTTTCATTCTTTTGCATGTGGCTGTCCAGCACCATTTGTTGAAGCAGCTTTCCTTTCTCCATTGTATATTCTTGCTTCCTTTGTTGAAGATTAGCTGTCCATAAATGTGTGGTTTTATTTCTGGGCTTTCAATTCTGTTCCATTGATCTGTGTGCCTGTTCTTGTACCAGTAGCGTGCTGTTTTGATTACTATAGCTTTCTAATATATGCTGAAGTTAGGCGTTGTGATACCACCAGCTTTGTTTTTGTTTCTCAGGGTTGCTTTAGCTATTTGGGGTCTTTTGTTGCCCCATATGAATTTTAAGGTTCTTTGTTTTAT